TCAGGGTATCAGGTGCAGGAGAACTCTTCGGAATTCAACCACTCGAAGCTCGGGGTGACCACACCAGGTCCGTTGGACCTTTCCTAGACGGAGACCCCTAAGGGCTTACAACCCTAAGTCCTAATGAAAGTTGTATCCCTTCCACACCTACCAGCTTGCCACTACAAGATCGGATTCTGCCCCCACAACTCCAATCTCAATTGGGTGTATTGTGGGCATACTCTATGCAGCTTTGTCCCTTACTCATTGACCAGCAGATCCCTAGTTGATCCCCCCCTGGTCGGGACTATAGGGACCATCTCCTTCCCTAGTTGATCCCCCCCTGGTCGGGAGTATAGGACCCATCTCCCTCCTACTAATGTACACTTCCCCAACCCTACTATCCTACCTACTAATCGGGAGAGAGGCTCAGTACAGTCCCAACCAGGCTGTACTTTGTCAACATCCCCTCTACTAGTCCCTCCAACTCTTATCCCTGTCCCATAGCCCACCCTTGTAAGGTCCTTGGGCATAGCCAAGCTCAGGAGCCTGATGACGAGGGCTATGAGATCACCTCAATGTCTACATACTGCATAGAGGCGACCAGCCATCTAGGTGGTCCTAATCCATGAGACAAGCATCGACTCACACCTGTTGGTCATCAGGCAGACTCTAACTACCCACGAGGTGTTTCTACCTATGATGCGATTTCTCCCCACCCATGCGGTCTCCGTAGGTGGCCTCGAGCAATGAACTTATCCCTTAAGCAGCCTGAACCATTCAATCCAACCTACCACAAGGTCCCTGTACCCGTCCCAACACACTCATCCCAGATGAGACAGCCCTACCCTCGTGACTCGAGACGTACACGAGGGGGGACCACCCTTAGAGCTAGTACTGTCTGAGCCACCCCCTCTCCCTGTGAAAATTCCCATCTAGCCAGGAAAACCGTTTTGCTCAGACACGGTTAGTAGCCCCAATAGGGGGAGGCAGGGAGGATTAGTCTAGGGATCCCGGGGCCCGCATGCCATATTACCTGATCGATACTACTATGTATCATCGGACCCAACTACGTACTACTATATACCAGCGAGGCTCGAGCAGGGTTAAACAGGTTTCGTCAAGGCTTCGTTATATACCGCCATGATAAGCCTATTGTTCAACAAGTTATAACCGACCGCTCTTACTCGTGCTGAAGTGGTTAGCTTACCTTCTCCATTTCAGACGACGGCCAAGGCTATTGACCCCTTGATCGCCCCGCAGGCAAATCCGGACCAATCGATGCTTTATTCGATGGATGTGTTTGAGTCCTTAGAGGAGTTAGAGACTGAATGGTTAGAGAAAGACCCTAGAGACTCTTGGCGATGTTGAACAAAGGTCCAAAGGGTGAACATTTCGTGGTAGAAGTCGATGTTGCCTTCCGTGCTTGTGTGGATAGGCTGCGCTTACGGGACCAAGTGTTGCGGCTTAGCAGATGTGTAGCATTTACCTTAGCCGACAAGCACTCTAAGATAGTCAGAGACTATGTCAAGGACGTTGTCTGCACCTTCTCCTATAGAGGAGGGGAATTGAGACACAAGATCTCGTTCCTAGTGAGTGACGAGCTGCCATTCAACATGTTGCTAGGCATATACTACCTCGAGGTTGGTAAGCCTCAATTCGATTGGGAGAGGAAGGTGATGATCCACAAGTTGCCAGATGGAAGGACCGCTAGGCTGCAAAAGTTTAAGGCTAGCAGACTGGTGGAGAACTATGTTTGCATGTGCACGTCGTCTTTCTATAACTATTACAAGTAGAATCGCGGGGAAGGTATGTACCTAGTCTTTGTCGCTGAGAAAGGGGAGGCCGTAAAATCATCCCTAGAATCATTGCACAATATTCAGACCTTTTCGAGGAGCGTAGGGGTGTGGTAGAAAAGGAGATTGTGCATGCGATTGAAGTCGTCCCCGGTAGCAAGGTACCTAGAGGGCGGATCTATAGGATGTCTCCTGCAGAGTTAGACGAGCTCCGCCGCCAACTTAAGGAGCTCATAGAGAAGGGTTGCCCCAAAGAAAATGGACACTAAGGATGTGCATTGACTATAGGGGCCTCAATGCCATCATTGTTAAGAACGCAGAGCCCCTACCGCACATTGACAACCTCTTGGATAGGGTGCAGGTATGTTGGTACTTCACAAAGATAGATCTGAAGTCTAGATACCATCAGATTGCTATTAGACTTGAGGATCAGCAGAAAACCGTCTTTCAGACCAGGTATGGTCTGTACAAGTTTGTGGTGATGCCATTTAGCATATGCAATGCTCCTGGGACATTCCAACATGCAATGAACCGGATCTTTCATGACTACTGAGACAAGTTTGTCGTCGTGTACCTCGACGATCTCCGTATCTTTAGTAGGATTGTAGAGGAGCACGCTGAGCATGTGAAAACAGTGCTCGGGCTCTTAGGACAACACCAGTACAAGGTTAACTTGGAAAAATGTGAATTTGGTCACACCAAAATCTTGTATCTGGTTATGAGATTTCTGCGGATGGGTTGAGGCCGGATGATGCCAAAGTGGCCAGCCCACATGACTGGCCCAGACCTCAATTTGTGACTGAGGTGAGGTCATTTTGGGGAATTACAGGCTACTACCGCCCGTTTGTGAAGAACTATAGTGTTGTAGCCTCTCTGCTGACTGACCTCACGCGCCTTGACACCCCATGGGAGTGGACCGATGAATGTGAGGCAGCCTTCAAGAGATTGAAGTATGCCCTAACGCACCATGAAGTAAAACTTTCAAAATCCTGAACAACCCTTTGTTGTGACCACAGATGCGAGCCAATATGGCATAGGCGCGGTCCTTGCGCGAAAGGAGGGGAAAAAGTTAAGGCCGATCGAGTACATGAGCAAAAAGATGCCACCTTAGAAATGAGCTAAGAGCTCAATGCCCTCTATAGAGCGCTGGTCCATTGGAAGCACTACCTCCTAGGCAGATTCTTTTATGTCAGATTTGACCATGAGACGCTGCGCTGGATTGAGACACACCCTGTGATCTCCAATGCACTCAAGAGGTGGATTAAAGTCATAATACCTATGACTTCAAGCTCGACCCTCTGAAGGGAGAGTACAATAAAGTGGCTGATGCACTATCGCGTAGGGCAGACTATCTGGGCACGCTAGTGACTGAGTTTGGAATTTCTGACGATGTAACTCGGTCTATGGTGGAAGCCTATCGACAGGACGCGGTCATGTCTGAGATCATCCGCAAACTGGAAGCTAAAGACAAGGCTGGAAGCTAAAGACAAGGCTACTTCCAATGAGTTTGTGCTGGTTGACGGCTTGCTGTTCCTTGAGAAGACTGGGAATAAACGTTTGTGTGTTCCAAATAGAGAGTCTTTGAGTAGTTCATTCTTAGGTGAGTGGAGGGGTTGGGTGAGAGCGCAATTTCGACAGAACGATCTGTCTGCGGATGGTGTTCCTCTGAATTTTGTTGCCGCCGTTTGATTCCTGTTCGGGGATCTTTCTTACTACCGTAACATTAGGGGATTCGTTGAGGCTTCAAGGCTCCTGGTATGATCGCTCTTCTTACCACGTGAAAACATATATTCAGTACTCTGCCTTTTCTTCCATGGACTGAAGCATGAGTGTGTGTCGTGGGTATGTGTTCCAGTTCGGGAGAAATGCTACACCGTCTCTATCCTTGTCCACTAGTGGTAGAGGAAAATAAAAAAGTGGCTGCCCCAGCACAGTACGAAGTATAATGATTGTGGGAATTCACACGGTTGCCCGTGATTCCTGCTGGGTTCTAATACTAATTTCGGAAAGAATACTTCACTGAAGGCTGTCATCGCTACTTGCGACGAGGAAATGGGAACTGCGATTGAAACAAAGCTTCCGAACGTGTTTCACACAACTCAAATTCCCTCGAGTTGTCCATTTCGCCTGGATACTCCGGCTGCTGGCTATTTTGACTCCCTCCGTGATGACACCGAGGTGAACAAAAAAGGAAAAATCTTACCTTGCCAGTTCAGCTCCTTTGTCGCTCGGATTGCTGCGGTAGTTTTCTCTTTGCAGTTTCTCCTCCCGCTATTTCCTGTCTGTCCTCTCCCCCTTCTTCCCGTTCCTCTCCCTCATCGTTCCTTTTCTCTTTTTTACTCTTCCTCTTCTGTCATTATTTGTTGTCCTTTCCTTTCTTGGTCTTGTCTCACGCTTCGGGATGATCATTCCCCCGTCCTCACTCTTCCTCCGCCTTCCCTTCTCTTCGTCCTCCTCTCTCCTTCTCTCCCCTGTGCCACGCCCTAGGGCGTGGCTTGGTGTGGTTTGTGTTTGAATCCCCCTTGCCCTGTTGCCCGCGAGCACAGCCCTCGTTCGGAATTGAAAGATCGTGGGCAGGTGCGAACACGCGGTGGTTTCGCACCTTGTCACTCGTAGCCGGGTCAGACCGCATGCATTACTGCTCGCACTAACCGGAGCGCGATATGGCAAAAAAGAAAAGGCCTTCACTTGTATCTGTCTGGCAGATGTGCAATTTTTGAACACAGACGCAGTCACGGACCCAGAAATATCTGAAGGTGCTATGGACTGGTATGGTCTGCTATGGTTTGTGGCACTCTGGAGTTTGCTTATTACTTATTCTCACTGTATCTCTTACCATTTTCAAAAGTTTTTTCAGTTATCTCTAACCTTGGTTTTCTTTCATCATACCATGTTATTATGATGTTAATGCATTTTCTGATGGTAAACAATTGTCCTGCTTTCGCTCGACTCTTTGAGCCTAGCGGTGGTAGCTTGCTCGATTTATTCTGAGACACTACTGATGCATACAGAACAGTATTAATCTGTCCTTAATTGCCAATTTGAGTCACTACATATAGATAGGGTAGCAAAGAAAGAAAAGGCTTGAAGGGCAGGAAGATGACTTTCTTGACAATGAACCAATTCAATCTGGGGGGTGCTTGTGTACCCAACATCTCATGACCCGAGCGGACGACAGTCACCATTGCTGATGTGTTCTTTGGGGTCTTGCTGTGATGTTTGCAGAGGTTGTTCAACAGGCTTGTGGGATGGCCAGCTATCAGATGGGTGAAATGGTAGAGAATGTCTCCACAGGCATGGATACATACAGCATTCGTCAGCCTTTGGGAGTTTGTGCTGGGATTTGCCCATTCAACTTCCCTGCAATGATACCACTTTGGGTGAGTAAACATCCAACCTATTTCTTTGACAGTCAGGAAAATATTGTGTAGATAATTCAGGGTAAATAAGTTAGCATCAGTTTGTCAATTCTTTTTGAGGTTCTAAAGGGGGGAAGAAGAGGCGCTAGTATGAACAATTATGGCAGGGACCTTAGGATGGTAAGTGGCTTATGTTTTCTCAGCCCCTGAGCTATGATCGGGGACGTGTTAAGGATAATGCAAAGCATACTTTCTGTTGATGATGTGTTGATAGCAGGATTTGGTGTGAGGCACACTTTTTGTTTTCCAATCTACGTTACAAGTATGTCGAGCCTACTCGGACAGCCAGGTTTTCTGGGCCAGACATCTGCTTTGTTGTTTTCCCATAGGTAACAGGACTGGACTGGCTTGGCCATCTGACCAGGTTGTCTGGCTCAGACAGATTCAACTCCCCTTGTCGAACAAATCCGAAGAAGTCAGAATGGCCCAGACATGCATGCATGTTTTCATCCTGGATTGGTATGGCTATTTTTTTGGGCATGCCCACTGGAGCGTAATTTCATGCTTGTTTCCGAAAAAGAAAACTACGTTTAGATTTCAGGGGGATTACAACATTTTTAAAAGGGGCTTAGAGGGGTGGGTACCAAAGGTCCTCTCTTTCTTTCTTTCTTTAAAAAAAAAAAAAAAAAAAAAACTTAACACATCTCCATTGATTCTCCAATCTATTCGTGGGGAGCAGCACGTGCTGGGAACCGGGTCCAGCGTCCCTTATGAAAAAACGTTTTTCAACCTGCACCACGCTTCCCCACGTTACGGCCCAGAGAACCTTGACAGCATTGATTGCTTCCTATAAGGAAGGATTAACTGTCAATTAATCCCATACTTGATACAGACCCCTCCCCCTATCTAAGTACCCCCGAAATAAACATTTGTAAATAACAGTTCACAGCTAGTCTGTCAATTAAGTCCATACTTTCTACAGACCCCACCCCCTATCTAAGTACCCCCGAATAAGCATTCTTAAATAACAGTTCACAGCTAGTCTTCCTTCTACTGTCTTACCATGCGGATACTAAAGCCCTAAACCCTCGCTGGTCATTGACCTGGGCCCCCTGTCCTTTCTTCATCGAAGTTACCAACAGCCTAAACCCTAAACCCTGGCTGCCCGCCTACCAATTGGCAGCAACTAGTTCTCGTTTTTAATGTATACACTGCTATACAGCTTACCTTTCTTACCTTATCCTTTTTGCGAAACCCCTATCTGCTTGATCCTCTTTTGGTGGAATCAGTCTTTACTCCCTCTTACCCTCTTAAACCCTAAACCCTTTCTACCCTCCAAGCAGGCCAGCCAAGGCTTGTGTATCTATGTCGTGTTCTGCAGGCGTTCCCTGGTGACCCTCTCTGTGCGCTGGCTCCTGTTACCCTGCTATCGCCAACCACCATTGAAATTGGAGGTTGAGCCCCGCGACTGTTGCCACTTTCCCTTGGCAGAGCACCATTTGCTCAAACCTTTTTCTTAGCTCCTGGGTCTTCTCTGGATTCTGCTATATGTGGCTCCTAACCCGCTTCCGTCGTGCCGTAATATCAGTTTTCAGGGAGGGGGGGTGAAAAGACCCTCTCCCATAACCCCATAAGTGTGAGGCCCCAGTGGTAACGAGGTCTGAATCTGGGCCCATCGCCTTGTTCCATTGCCGTTTAATTACTGGTTCCGGATCTTTTGTCTTTACAAGCATCTTGTAACCCATCTTGTCTGTGTAATCACTGATCAGATATTGGGATAGGGGCTTTGAAGGTTTTGTTTCTCTCGGGGAACCAGGCCCATTCTCCATGGTCAAATTCTAGCTCTTGGATGGCTGCTCTTATTTGGAAAATAGTTTTGGGCTAGAGAGTAGTAGAGACCCAAAACTCTCACTTTGCAGAAAGCAAACGTGTCTAGAATCACTCGTGGATCTTCGTTGTGAATGGTGGGTTCTTCAGGTTTAGTCATGTTGTGATTGGAAAGGAAGCGAATACAGCAAGGAATCCCATCCCTGATTGTTGATGGGAGAACTGATAGGCCCTTTTTGGAGTTGTCTCCTGAATCAGCACTCCACGGTAGCCCGGTGTCCATGTAAATTTTTCTATGAGTAGCTCCTTCCTGCTGTCGGGAATGCTCCATCTAATCATTTGTAGATTCTCATCTCCATGATGGCACCCTTTCAGCTGGGCCTTCAGTTCTTTTCTTCTTTCCATACGTTTTCCTCCTCATTCAGATATCTCCTACCTGCCAAATCCCGTGCTCAATCCATGAAAGCCATCGGTCGGCTCTACTCGAGAGCGGCCAAAGGTGGTTGCCCTCGTCTCTAATCCATGGGTTTCCAAAGATAGGTTGTCTAACCACCTCCTCTGTGGATAAGAGGGCTGTGAAATAAGGTACTCATGGGTGACTTTCATTGGGAGGTATGTTCCTGCCTCGTCCGTTTCTGCCCGTTTTGGGTTTCCTGTCCTTGTTCATAACCCAGATTAAACCAGACATGTTTGAGGGACTTTCCGTTGGTGTCAGATTTCGGATTCTATCTTGGGCTAGCTTGTTCCATGCAAGGTGCTGTTTGGTCAATATTTTAACCACCCATTTGGCTTGCAGTGCCTTTTTTTTTTTTTTTTTTTTTTTTTTTTTTTTTTTTAAAAACAGAACCTTAAGGTTCTGGCTCCTTTTCCATTCTGGGGAGCGTCAGTCCGGTTTCTATTCCACTGGCTTGCTGTTGCATACCGTAACGGTGCAGACCAGAACAAGAACGGACCTCTCTCACATAGTACAGGATAGCGCAGCGGAAGGCTAAAATACCAATGATCAGACCAATCAATGTCGCAATGCAGACCAAACATATATCATCATCACATGGTGTGAAGGGGCCTGGCGCTCACACAGGAAGAATGCGCCAGTCCCCAAACCATACACAGACAAAGAGGAGGGGGAAGATGGAATGTTCAATGTCGTCAACACCAAGTCTTCGATACAGGCCCCAAATAATCCCTTGTCCAATGTCGAGTCTGAATCCAAATGTCGTCAAATCTCAAAGTCGCAAATCTCTCTCTCTCTCTCTCTCTCTCTCTCTCTCTCTCTCTCTCTCTCTCTCTCATAGTCTGTAGGTGCTGAGAAGTCAGGTAGTGAGAGGGTGAGGGAGAGATGGTGGACTTAGAGGAGGAAGAAGAAGAACTCTCTCTCTGTCTTTGGTGTACCAAGTACTAACCTGTGAAGGTGGCGCCGTGTTGCAGGTACATCGAAGACGAAGCTGGAGCTATGGCGCCACAGGTAAGTCTCCCTGGCCTCCGCCACTCTCTCTCTCTCCAACACTACTCTAAGCTCCGAACAGCTCGCAGCGCTGAAGAATACTCCTAGCGGTACTACTACTACTGCAGCGCTCCTGCAGAGTGCTGCGGCCACATCCTGAAGACTGCCTCCTGAACTGCACGTGAAGTGCCCGTGAACTGCCTGTGAACTACCTGCAGCCTGCAGGGCGGGCCAGTACTACATAGTGCTGGCCCGTCCGGGAGGCTGCTCTTGCCAATGCCGAAACGTGCCAGACCCTGGCGTTGAAGTTCAAGCAAAGGTTGTCTTGAAACAGGCCCAGAACTGGCCTGTGCTAAACCCTGGTCTGGCGCCTAAGTTTCAGGGCAGGTCGACTTTATGAGGGCCTGAAAATGGCCCTCCTTTTCAGGCTTTAGGCTGAAACGACACATGGCCTGGAGGGCCCTTATTTTCCATCTGGTCGGGCCCTCCAGGCCCGTGTGGATGCGCAGTATGCCACACTTGCAGTGCCTTCGTTTCTTGTCTGGGATTGATTATTCCCAAGCCCCCATGAACAGGTTTCCCTGTGATATAGTGCCATGCTATCTTGGGTATGTAGCTCTCTTTGTTCGGGTCCCCTAACCATAAGTAGGCCCTGGCTTTCTTGTTCAGCTCCTTGATAGTAGGATCCGGTATCATCCAGACCAAGGCTATATACCACATCATCGAGGAAAGGGATGTCTCGATGCTTGATAGTAGGATCTGGTATTGTCCACATCATCAAGGAAATGGATGTATTGATGGTTAAGGCTCTCGGGTCTGAGTCCATCTTCCCATTTTGTTAATTTGGTATGACAGCATATCCACGCTCGGTGGTGATCTGGTTGTGGTTGTCTCCGTGGTGATCTGGTTGTCACTGTCTGCTAGGCTTTCTACGAAATTATTCTTAGAAACTGACTGTCTAGATGAATCCAAGATCGGATAAGAGAAACCACCCGAACCCATTCCGACCACGATACGTTTGCATGCACCCATCAGGAACCTGTCAAGTACACTGCGAGAACAGGGATTTTTGAAAGGAGACTTTTTAGTAAGTTTTTACCCACGGCAAAACATGGAATAGTCCCCATGGATCATGCTGACATATTAAGATTCTACAATCAGAGAATACTCGGAATCCTGCATCGTAAGATAATACCACCTACAGAGGCGGGCATAATTTTATCAGTCAAATTTGAGGGCTCTTTAGAATACAATGAGAAATCTTGTCAGTGGTATTATTACGGGAGAAACAAGCCGAAGCTTTCTTTAGTTCCCTTTCATAGAAGGGAGGGCAGTGGTCCCCTGTATAGCCTTAGGAATAGTGGTAGGTGGGGCGCAGCGCTACCGGGAGCGCTGCGCCCCGGCACCAACCACGGCAGCGGAGTGAGGCAGTTCTGGCGCGCTCAAACGGACGAAGTGGTGCACGGCGATGGCGAGACAGAAGAGCTGGTGGGGTAACGGAGGAGTTGCTGGGCTGGGTATCGAGCTTAGGGTAGCTGCTTACTAGGCGTTTTGCGCACGCGCGGGGAGCGAAGGTGCTTGTCTATACCGTATCACAGGTTGATAGGGAGAATAGACTGACTCCCGGGGGCTTTCTGGGAGTTCCACGTTCATACTCCATTGCTGCTGCGTTTTTGCCCGTGGCATAGAGCCTGTGAGGTGTCGTCTCTGGGGATGCCTGTGGAGTTCAGCGGAGTGAGCCTTGCGTGAC